GGCTGCCCGGGCTGCCTTACAATAACCGTATTCTAGCAGCGGAGAAAACAGGAGGGGGAAGGGACGGGCAGAACAATAGGGGCACTGTGCGGAGGAGGCAGCCACCGGCACAGCACTCGGAGGTGAGCTGCGGCCCGGGTTTTGCCACGAGACCCCCGATACGAAGGGTTTTGCAGAGAGCAGGGGAGGACAGGGCTGAAAAGCAGCACAGCCCGGGGCGTTCGGGGGTCCCCGGGGCGTTCGGGGGTCCCCGGGGCGTTTTCAAGGGTCCCCGGGGAATTCGGGGACACGCGAGGGACGTACTTGAGCTCCTGCGCGATAGCCGCGATCTGCTCCACGCGGTCCTGGTGCGCTGCCAGGTCGCTCTCGAAGGCTTCGTGCTTCCTGATGAGGGCTTTGATGTCCGACAGCGTGGCGGTTTCGTAGTCCTTCTGCTTCAGCATGGCCTCCTTGCCTAGGGACAGAGGAGCGAAGGACGTCACCTCCCCGTTATGCGGCTTTGTCCCCCTCCGTATGCGCCGGGAGAGGCACCGAGGAGAGGCCTCCGGCTTGCAAGAGGCCAGCCGGGTGGCATCTCCTCAGAAGATGGACCCAAACGAACAGTTTGACGCCCCTGCCCAAGCTTATACGCATCCAGAAACACTGAAGTAACATAAAAAGTGTCTCTGAGACGTGCTGCCAGGGGTTTGCTACCCCCGGAAAGCGGCATCAGCTCAGGGACGGGGACTCTGGTTGCTCACAGCATCCAAAAACCACAAAGTAACACAAAAAGCATCCCTGAGACGTGCTGCCAGGGGTTTGCTACCCTCGGAAAGCGGCATCAGCTCAGGGACGGGGACTCTGGTTGCTCACAGCATCCAAAAACCACAAAGTAACACAAAAAGCATCCCTGAGACGCGCTGCCAGGGGTTTGCTACCCCCTCAAAGCTGCATCAGCTCGGGGACGGGGACCCCAGTTGCTCACAGCACCCAAAAACCCCAAAGTAACACAAAAAGCGTCTCTGAGACGTGCTGCCAGGGGTTTGCTACCCTCGGAAAGCGGCATCAGCTCGGGGACGGGAACCCCAGTCGCTCACAGCACCCAAAAACCCCAGAGTTACACAAAAAGCATCCCTGAGACGCGCTGCCAGGGGTTTGCTACCCCCTCAAAGCTGCATCAGCTCGGGGACGGGGACCCCAGTTGCTCACAGCACCCAAAAACCCCAAAGTAACACAAAAAGCGTCTCTGAGACGTGCTGCCAGGGGTTTGCTACCCTCGGAAAGCGGCATCAGCTCGGGGACGGGAACCCCAGTCGCTCACAGCACCCAAAAACCCCAGAGTTACACAAAAAGCATCCCTGAGACGCGCTGCCAGGGGTTTGCTACCCTCGGAAAGCGGCATCAGCTCGGGGACGGGAACCCCATCCGAGCCGTGCTGCTGAGGTCCACAGCGTGGACGGTCCCTCGGGCTCCCGGAGGAGCTGGGGTGCCGGGGATTTTAAAAGTCGCTCTCCAAGGCCTTCGTCGCCGTCGGGGTGACTTCGCCTTTGACGGCCGC